TTTCAGTAATTTTAATTAACGGTATAGAAGTTAGTGTTTTGTTTAATAGTTTGCCAAATTCATAGCTGTAAAACGCAGAAAAATTAAATGCCCAGAAGGAAGGAACATTTATAAGGAAAGAAGGAAAAGTACAGAAGAAAAGACAGCGGTAAGCGAAAGATAGGAACAAAGAGGAGAATAAAGAAAGGGTGGAAGAAAGAGACGTATAGTAATATGAGGATACTGACTCCATAGAACAGAATCCTTTTGGAGAAGCTTATGATAATTATTTGCTCAACTGACGAAGAGATTCTCAAGCCTTCTGTGGAACATGAAGATTCATTACCATGTTTACAACAAGCCGCCAACGGACCATAAACTGATAAAATCTGAATCCAGAACTGGCTATCTTCTGGAGTGTAATCTGATCATATTGGCCGACGTGTCAGAGAAGTCTACTACATCCCTGACTGATGATGTAGGCGCAACATCCCATGAGACAGCCATTTTCATACTCATCACCGCAAGACTCCCAAATCTCATCAGTTGAATCCAATTTATACCCTCACATCTTCCGTTTTAATATTATCCTCCATGTAATCTCCTCACTTCAGTTTTTTCACTAAAATTTGATATTATTTATTAAATATCTAATTATCTAAGAATACGCAGAATTTATGTGACTCGGCTTAGGGTTAAGCCGTTTTCACGTTCGGTGGGATTCCTTCGATGGAAGCTGCTGTCTTCATGAAGCAACGCAGAAAAAATGCGAGCGTGTAAGGGCGGCACAAGGCATTGAAGTCACACGAGTAGCCGTATTCCACTGTTGTGATGTAGTGCGACGGATCAGCTAGCAGCATCTTCAGCTTGCACGCGTGCCGACCTCTGTTGTCACGTCCTGTCTGTCCTAGCACATTTGCATTCCATTGCATCACATCCTGCTACATCCGTGCCTACCAAACGCATTCAGACTTTGAGATGGCTGCCTTCTGGGATGTTGCACCCTGTAGTCTGTGAAAAAAAGTCAGACGTTTCAGAGGAGCTTACTGCCTTCATCATCAGGGCGATCGCAACATCCCAGAAGACGAACTTCATACTCGTCGTCGTGAGAACCTGAAAGCTCACTCATTGAGACTTTTGCAACGTAGAAACGTTAAGACAACACACAAGTATTTGCTCTCGTTTTCTTATGCCGCGTTATAAAGTTATTTTACTTGAACACACGTAAATATTGAGTGTTCCTGAAAAGTGCATAAGATAACATTTGAACCTGCAAGAGGAGAAAATTAAGGAATGAAGAACTTCATGTGTACTCCAGGATAATTACGAAACTATAATAGCCTGCTAGATTGTTATTTCTGTAACCATTAATTCATTTATCCGTGTATGTCGTTAATCATTTTAATCACTTTTAAACATTAGAATGGGACACGGGTTTTAAAGTGTTTAGATATTTATTGGTTTTTTTCATTCTCATAGTCTGAATATAGTACGGGCAGTATTAGTGAAACCTGCCTGAGTATGTTATCCGCATTAATTTATTATAAAGTTACAGTGCATAAGTTTTTCGTTTTGTGACTCTTGTGATATACAACGCCTACTTTCCCCGTGCACCAACTTATCCCGTTCCGCCACCATATTTGAAAAATAAAATAAAATAGTATTCACACACGTGAATATGTAATTTTCTGCATTTTAACCTAATTCTATTCTATAACAACTGAGTTTAGTCTGGCTGGAAATTAGATCCAAATTGTACAAAATTAAGGGTTCTTACACAAATTAAAGTTAGTACAAATAATAAGCTACCGGTAATATAGCTTTTGTCCTGAGTACAAGATTGTTTAATACGTTCAATTATTTTTTCATTAAGCTGCTCTCGAAACTGTTATTTTACATTTCTCGGCTGTATTTACGTTGGCAGGTCTCATAGCTGCGGTCATTAGCGCGTTGATCTGGAAACCATATGGTCGCGGTTTTGAATCTTGCAACCAGCATGGTGTATATAGGTTTTCATCATTGTTAATCACTATACATGTCACCACCGATCCGATAATTTGGAACTGACCCTCCAGTCACGTGAATATGTTTACGGTCAAATGCTTGTACTAGAAGGTGTGGTGTGTTCCGGGGATAAAGTGGCCTTAGAAAAATACAGAAATTTAACGTTTTGCTTCAGGTGGAATAAGTTACATATATTTGCAGATGTTCATGCCTTATTGCCCGTGATGTTCCTGTTCTGGTGATATAGTGAAATAATTAGAATTTCTTAATGTTACCTGTTTCATTGTATGGGTGTGAAATCTTGTTTCACAGATTAAAGGAGTAACAGAGGTTGGGGGTGTTTTAGAATAAGATGTTGAGGAGAATTTTTGGACAGGTGGCTGGAGGATGTTGCATAATGAAGTGCTTTGTAACGTTTAATCTGCTCTTCACCAAATACTAAGATGATAAAATCAAGGACGACAAAACTGGGCGAGGGCACAAACTTTATGGATGTAAGAAATGAGAAATGCGTAGTAAATTATGGTTTGAAGGCCTGAAGAGAAGAGACACTCGGATGAGTTTCGCGTAGACGGTAAGGTAATAATATAATGAATCTTAAGGAAACAGACTAAGGGGGGAGGGGTGGAATGGATTAATCTGGCTCAGGAAGGCGATAATGAACTTTCGGATTTCACAAGAGCAGGTAATTTCTTCAGCGCCTGTGCAAGTACATATATTTAATAACGAAGAAGTAATTGCAGGTGTGGAAAAGATTTTGAAAGAAAGAAGCGGTCATATCCGGTTTGAAAATAATAAGTAGCACTCCTGATCGCCGGTTTCGTACCCAGGAATGTAAATAGATTTCTTCCACGTTTAACTTACACGCCGTACAATTGTCTTGAATTCTGAAACTGTCATTGGCCCTAAACTGTCAGGTGCAGGGTATAAGGCATAGTTATATCTTTAAGGCATAGATTTCAAAACTGATTGCCGCTGAAATTTAATGTATTTTTATGTCTTCTACTGGAAGATTTTTCTTTTTTCTACAGTACTTCCGTCGTCAAAACATCTGCCTGTCACTGTCTATAACGCGATCTGTAATTGTTGTACTCAGACAAATTTGAATGTTTATTGTTTAATTTATCTACGAATAAGAGTTAAAGAAAAGAAAGAAAATGGCGAATTAATTTTGCAGTGGAAGCCATTGTCACGCTTCAAGAAATTCCATGATGTTAGTGATTACTAAGGTGAGGGATAAATATGATGATTACAGAAACCTCTCTTATTTCTGATTGGCTGCTTTGAGTGCATTAGGCATGTGACTGTCTCTCCCGGCGAGAGGATAGGCCTATAACTGAATAATGGACTTGTGGATGGTACAGAGAGGAGGGGGGCATTGTTTTCCCTCGGGTGGAAACGAATAGCTCTTGCATGTTTGATTATCTTCCGCTGTCTGTTCGTGAAACAGGAAAACCACTTGTTCTAATTTCGCCCGATGAACAGACTGTCCTCAACTGTTATGTTGTAATATCTATCAGCTCCAAAGTTCGAAATGATGCCCAAAAATAGTGCTGCTATGTTTTATTGCTAAGAAGCAAAAAAGCAGACTTGTCAGCGCAGTGGAATTATTGTAACAGTAAAGCAGGCGCTTCCTTAATATTTCATGCAGCCCGGCTGATTTCTCGAATCATAAGCGATATACGACTCAAAATGTCCCGATTTTAATTAATTTTGAGTTTCAAATACGGTACCTCTCAAGTAGCTATTAGTATATAGTACCGTTGTTTTACATTTCAGTTAAATAAAGTGGAAATATTTCGGTGACGTACACATTTGTGTGTGCTTGTGGGGAAAATATATTAACTAGCCATATATTTTATGCTTAAGCCTGGATTTAATGAAGATATACGGTTATGATATTTCTCAACCGTGTGATGGCCTTCGAAACAGTCACCTCCTTTTGTGCGGCCCTCAGTAGACACTGATTTTGACGTAAAGGAATATTATATAGTATAAACGTTTTTCTCGTGCTTATTATTAAGCACCACACCATGAGTATGCGTGGGGGAATGAATCTCTAATCATTTATGACCTCTGAAAAGATGAATATAGGTGATAAGTTTCTCAGTGAAGGTCTTCAAGATTTTGAAGTCACTTTGATTGTCTTCATGTTATTCAGCTCTGCATTTCTTGAAGTTCACTGCATGTTGTCCATTTGATAACCTAAAACAGGCTTAAAATGTTCCCCGTTCGTTCTTTCTTCAGCTGTCATTCTTTATTCTCATGATAATTTCAGTGCCCAAAATGCTAAATTACCATAACAGGTTCGTGTAGCAGTAAACACCACCATCAGCACTGTTGACAGCCCTTAGGACTTACAGACACTAATACATGTAAATGGAACTTTTAATACCCGTGACCTATATTGAGTCACCAGGTCTCCGGCACTGGCAGATGTTGTCAAAAGTGCTCATGCCACTGAAATGTCATAGTGTTAATTCTCTATTACTCTCTGTAATTAGGCTTAAGTGGTTAATTGCATTCATTACTAACATATTGTGTCTGCTTTAATCTGGAGGTTCTTACGTTGAATTCTGGGAGGAATATGTACTTAGAAATGGTAACAGTATGCAAATGAAATACACACAAAATTAATATCTTTACCATAACACCATCAAGTATGCCATCGAAACTGTAAGATGTGCTTACTGCCTACGTCCATGGCTAGCGATCTGATGACGGAGGCAGGAAACACACCTGAAACGTCTGTAAACTTCTATAAGGTTACACTGAAGAAAAACCCAGAAGGCAGCCATATTAGTATTTATATGCGTTTTAATTTCAAATGTGTCCTGACATTTGCACCAGTCCATATAAAATTTCTTGCTTACCATCAATATTAATCACCATTTTACCCTACAGTAATTTCTTATCAGGCCTTGTAGTTTGTAGAGTATGATTCAAAAGGGAAGGGAAATTACATGTGCGACACTGAACTCGTTTTAATTCATTAATTGCTCTCTCCTCCGATGCAGTCGGCTGAGTATCGAAAACTGGATGATGCCTGCCGCCTATGCAGGCCACTTCAGCAATTTGGTGTGGATCAAGCCGCCGTGGGCGAAACAGATGATGGACCGAGCTCACACCTTCCTCATCGGCCGCCATAGACTCTCCGGTGAAATAAGGTTAGCCGCCTGACTTTCTTAGGCTATAGCCAGAGATTTATTTATGTAAGGAATAGTATCTATAATTACTGCTGTTCTTATAGATTGCACGTGTATGTTTGTGTAGGTGGACTTCATATGCAGGTTTATTTATTTGTCCCTTCGGGCTCTAGTGTCCATGTGAAGGTGTAAGACGGAAGTCAAGTCTAATCTCTGAGTAATAAACTGTTAACTAAAAGCCCTTTTAATGTGCCCGAGGGTTTTAACAGTTTATTACAACTATTTATAACCATATCTTCCCAGAATGTCCTTGGCGATTGTCTTTTGTTACTACTGTCTTTGTTCTCTTCTGTTTTTAAGAAGTTTTAAGAATATCACTACGCTTTGAAGTCTGAATCCCCCTCCCCCCAATATTTAGTTGAAGACAGAGGAGGATCATTCCTTCAAAAGTATAGTGACTTTATAAGATTTTGAGGCTTAAAAGGAAACATACGACGAATAAAGCTAAAACAAGTGTTTATAACCATCTTGGCCGGCTGCATATTTCAGCATGTTTAAAGTCACATTTAGACGCCAGGTCAATGGTTTCTTATCCTCTCCTCTGCCCCAAGAGTCTGGTTTAATGCCACTGAAGAAAGCAGTAAATTTAATTCCTGAATTACAGTGAAATTTACAGTGCGTATAGCGTATTTTTGCAGTAGTCTATGCATCTTAGGCTACCCACGCGAACTATGAAGAAAGGAATTATTCTTTATGTAGCCATGGACCAGTTTACTGGCGTGAGAATGTTTTTGTAAGCATCAACATTTTCAGTTATCACCAAGACCATTTCAAGTTTGATTTTATTTAAAGCTTTTGTAGCCCATGTGGGCCTCATACACTCTGTTAAATCAGTCGGACTTTATTGTCTATTAATGACAGGTCTGATATGCTGTTTCTTGTGATTTGCCAAGTGAAAAGGAGGTACCATCGCAGTATCATGTGCATTTGTTTTCTGTGACAGGCATTCAGTGGTGTAGACTCTTATTTGCAATTTTTTCTCCCTCCTTTCAGTGCTGACATATCGAGGTTCTGAGCCCCCCCCCCCCCCCAATCTTATTATTCTTTCTCCGTCATTGATGTTTGTGGATGCCATGTAAGAATTTGAGAAGATTTATTGCCCACATTGCCAAAATCTTTACCCAAAAATAAAACTGACGAGAGTCTGTCAGACGACGAGACAAATTAGTATACCTAGTAGATGTAGGTGCAAGAAACTGACTTCATTGCATTGTACCTTTCAGTTTATTTTTAAATGAGTACAGTGTAAAGTCGCGGTCAATGAAGTATACTTTGCCGCATGAGAATATTTAGTTTAAATTTTGTGAGTTTTCGAGGAAGCATCCTCGGCTCGAAGACTGTTATGTGCCACTGAAGGGGAACTGTGACGTTGCTGTCAGTCGTCAGCAAATTATTCATATAATTTCATTTTTCTTCTTAAAATTATGTTCTATTAAGGTATTCAAGTATCCGTGAATAAATGTTTATTTTCATTCATGGAAATTTCTGTCTCAGCATATAGGCTACTCGTATGCTAAATGTGGTTCAGTTTATTCTTGAACGCTTTTCGGACCAAGCGACGACTGTGGTTTTCAAACAGTGTTCCTCGAAACTCAAATTTTCATCATTTATTAGCAGAGATTGTGAGACACAGGTAATAGCTGAAATTATAATATTCAGACAATTGAAATAAAGTAATTTTTTTCTGTATTTAACGACGAAACGTCTCAGCCGAGTGGTTAGCAGTACTGCTTCGTATTTGATAGGTTCCGGGTTCAAACCTTTGGAGATATGAATTGACATTTTCTATGGTGAAAGTTTATGAACATGTGTACTAATTTTGTATGTTGTGTGGTAATGGTTATAAACAGGGAGACTGTGCAGACCTTTTGGATCGCGTAAGTAGGAAACAGTTGAAATAGTGAACATAAATGGATCATTGAATTATCGTCTTAGTCGTACCATCGTACGTAGAAGTTGTTCCAAGAAGTTCCCATCGCTATGCATTCGTTTTAAAATGCTTGAGGTTAAGTGAACTCACAGGATAGCAGAAGACTCCGATAAAATAATTTATATTCCTAAATGTGTAATGAAATGCAGTTAAAACAATGTTTTAAGTTATTTGTTTCTCCCGAAACGCTGGTATCTGCCTACAAGATCACGCGGCACTATTGTAGCCCAGAAGACCAACTGTAACGCACCTACTGTCAGAATATATTTCTAAATATATTGTACTGTTTATATAAAAAAAAGGAATGGTCAGGAGAGAGTGATACGAAATTTAGCGTGCTCTAGGCAGCCAAGGTATAAAGGCATTAGACGGAAATAATGAAGAAAAATTATGTATCAACTAAAATGTGCAGGATGCACTCTGTCATTTGTAGAAGCTCTGTTTTGTGTTTATTCTCGCTTTCTTGTATTTTCCATTTGGTTTTAATAGTTGACTAAATACAAGCAATACGAATTTAATTTGCGGTGTCTTATTTTAGAACAAGATTTTCGTACATCACTGTAGTATTGAAAACCACATATATACATCTCATACATCTTTCATCCTTACAGAAAACACGTTACATTAATCGTACAATGCTGTACATTTCTTGCATTGCAATTGCACACATGAAATACAGACTAATGTTTGAAAATTCCTTTTTATTCTTCAATCTGTGCGTCTGTCATTATTTATATAGAATATTTTCGCATTATTTCTTTTACATGAGACTGACAAGTTAACTGTATATTATTAAATAGGTAATACATCTTTCGACTGCATGTGTTTGATGCATTTATGTGTACACGTGAGAAGATACCTGTGTTAAATTAGCATCTTTATAGTGTTCTGTATTTCTGAAACCGTCACCAGTACGTAGATTCTCACATCCATCACTCAAACTAGGTACGTGACATCTTACATCATTTGTATTGCCTCGTGAAAATAGAACATACATGCCAGGTAATTCCGTTGCTATAATACGTAGGCCTGCCTTCTTCATATTGGCGACTAATTACCCTACGCCACTCTGATTGATGTTTCTCTTTCATGTGCGTCCTATACTTTTATTTCTTACTTCCTTTTATCTCTAAGTTTCTTCTTGCAATCACGTGTATGAAATAGTGGGCGGAATTGATGGCTACGTGTAACTGACATGGGCTTTATAAAGTCTTAAAACGAACACGAAATGGCAGTATATAATATGTTACTCTGAACAGTTGTATTCTTATGTAAGATGCAGTGGGAGAACAATTGCTACGTCAGAATTGATTTATTGTTACACTGTCCATATTCTCTGAAGTTCTTATCCACAGCTTCGCGTAATCGACAAGACTCATTTCAGCTTTAAGTGTATAGTTTGATATCAGTTTGTTTACGAAATAAAATAATAATTATCTATTTATTATTTCCGAATTATGAATGTTGTCGTAAAGTTATAGCGTTGTTCCGATTTCAGTGCCGATTTTAAGGAAATACGACAATCAATATTGTTAATATATTTTATGAACCTGTTAGTAATTGTTATATTTTATTTTAAAAATGTAATTATTAGTATTATAATTAATTACAACTACTACAACAGCAACGTTGATGAAGATTTTGACCTGTTAAAGTTATAAGGTTTAAAACCGTTCCATACTTTTATTGGACATCCGTATTGTCGGCTTATGCCAGGACTTTATTAAGTGTCTATTTTGTTGATTTTAGCTGTACACTAATTAACTTGAAAATTTAAATGCAAGAATGAAAGTAATTTGGGGATTTGTGAATTGAACAAGTTTTCGTAAATATTGTATGATTTAAAACTTTAGGAAGTTTAAGTGCGAAAATGAAGCCCAGAACTGGAAATGACGCGTCGTGAAGGTCTTTCAAAGCACGTAAACCTAATTTATCTCGTGTACTACTACTACTTTTTATCCCCTGATTCTTAAGTGGGCGTACATTAAAATCGCAAATGTTGTGATTTAATAGTAACTTGCAACGTATAATCACTTGTAAGATTGCGCTGCGTATGAGGTAAAAATACTGGAAATAATTATATATTTGATGGAGAGCGACTTTTATAATGGACGGTAACACTGCGAGTTCAACGTCTTGCGTCGAAAAGTGATTTCTCGATTTATGAAGTTTTTTGTATTATGTTTAGTGCAATGATGGTTACATTAATATGAAGAATCAAGTAAATTGTTAGGTTTTAAGATTTATAGTTTTTGCGGTATTAGGACTATTAAAATAAATGTTGTGATATTGAATTAGCCCCGGTTTTAAGTCTATAAGAGATATGAATTTTATTTTTCAAGAATACATTTTGAAAATAAAACAAAATTGTTATGCTGTGTTGAACGTACGCGGCCTGCCCCTGCCACTCTGGCTGTACGCTTCCTTTTTAACCAACATAAATAAACAAGATGCTTTATTGCTTTGCACTCATTAGTTTCTCTTTAAAACATGCCATCAGGAAGGCCTAAGAAAATAAATAATTGCTGAAATTTAATGGGAAATATCAGCTTCTATTTTCTTCTGGTGATAATATACGTGGAAAAAACTAAATACTTATGCTTGTCTCACCAGACTGCTTGATAATATCTTTATAAAATGTAGCTAATATATTCTTCAAATGTGGTGAAGTTAAAGAATTTGTAACCACATAAACAAATCAGAATTTCATTCGTGGCGAAGAAATTAATTTCGAACAGTGCATTGCGTCTTATAATCTTTTGTCTTCCCGTATGATTTCTGAAAACGTATTTCTCTCTCTTTACGTCTCTGGGGCCCACCCAGCCTCCTCTACAATGGGTACCGGGGGTCCTTTCCCGGGGGTAAAGCCGGCCGGGGCGTGATGCTGACCACTCACCCCCATCTAGTGCCGGGGTCAAGGAAGAGAGGAGCTATACCTCCACTCACCCCAAACGCCTACATGGCGTATAGTGGGACAAACTTTACTTTTTACGTCTCATTGGTTGGAAACTGCGTTTTTTTCTGTCACTGT